TTTATTTATAAAGGCCTTTAAAACAACCACAGCTGCCACAAAGTGACATATAAAATCAAGAACATTTAAACACATAAAAACAGTTGTTAAAACATTAAGATCAATAAAAAATAATAAAAACAGTGCAGAGCAAAATTCAGTGTGTGCTAAAAGCCAGGGAGTAAAAATGTGTTTTTTAAAGAGTTGTAAAACTGGACAGTGAATGGGCTCGTCTGATGGGAAGAGGGAGATCATTCCACAGTCTTGGAGCAGCAACAGAAAAAGCTCTGTCCCCTCTGAGCCTCCCTTTAGACCTCGGCACCTCCAGGAGCAGCTGATCAGCTGATCTGATGCACCGAGCAGGAGAGTATGGGTGAAGCAACTCAGAGAGGTAGGATGGAGCAAGACCATTTAAACTTTTAAAAACAAATAAAAGAATCTTAATATGAACTCTAAAATGAACAGGCAGCCAGCGGAGTGAAGCCAGAGTTGGGGTGATGTGCTCCCTTTTTTGAACTCCAGTTAGAAGCCGAGCAGCAGCGTTCTGGACCAACTGGAGGCATCTGAGGGAGGACTGGCTGACTCCAAGTTAAAGAGCATTACAGTAATCCAGCCGAGAGGTGAAGAAGGCATGGATTACTGTTTCCAGCTGCTGTTTTGTGAGGATGGACTTTACCTTAGCCAGCTGTCTGAGGTGATAAAAACTGGTCTTGACCACCGCTCCAATCTGGGAATCTAATTTAAAATCACTGTCCGTTTTAAAACCCAAGTTAGAAACAGTTTTCTTTACATGTGGTGCCAGAGGGCCCAGATCAACAGGGCAATGTTCACAAGAGCCATTAGGACCAAACGCCATCACTTCTGTTTTCTTTTCATTGAAATTAAAGAAGTTTAAAGACATCCAAGCTTTGATGTCTTCAAGACACAACAGAAGTGGCCTAATTGAAGGGTCATCTTTCTTTTTTAGTGGCATATAGATCTGATTATCGTCAGCGTAACATTGAAAAAAGATCCCATGCTTTCTAAGGATTGATCCCAATGGAAGCAGGTAAAGGGAGAAAAGCAGGGGACCTAAAATAGAGCCCTGTGGAACCCCAAAACACAGAGGAGCAGTGGAGGATTCAGACCCAGCTATGTTGACAGACATGGTTCTGTCTGCCAGATAGGACCTAAACCAGCTCAGTGCAGTACCACAAATACCCACTTGGCACTGTAAGCGTGATATTAAAATGTTATGGTCCACAGTATCAAAGGCAGCGGTTAGGTCGAGCAGGACAAAAACCACATGTTCACCAGAATCATTGGCCATAAGAACATCATTAAAAACTCTGACTAGAGCTGATTCTGTGCTGTGGCGAGTTTTGAAGCCAGACTGAAAAACCTCCAGGATATTGTGCTCATCCAGAAAACATTTGACCTGTGAATATACAATTTTTTCTAAAATTTTTGAAATAAAAGGCAGCTTGGAGATGGGCCTAAAATTAGCCAAGACAGTTTGGTCTAGGCTAGGCTTTTTAAGCAGGGGCTGCACCACAGCATGTTTAAAACGTATTGGGACAACACCTGAGGACAGACTGCTATTGATAACGGCAAGAATCACCTGCTTGATGCTGGAAAACACCTCTTTTAAAAGACGAGGGGGGACAAGGTCACAAGGAGAACCTGATGGTTTAATATGGCCGACCACATCCTCTAAAAGGGTCAGGGTCACTAGTTTAAATCTATCGAATACAGCCAGGCAGGGGACCAAGCAGGAGGGGTCAAAAGCAGTGACAAATAAGGGCTGTGGTAACAACCTTATTTATAAAAAACTGCAGGAAGTCATTACAAAGTTCAGTAGAGGCTTCCAGACAGACAGGTTGTGGGGCCTTCAGGACAGAGTCAATAGTTTTAAAAAGGACACGTGGATTATTATGATTGGACACAATAATATCTGACAAGTGTTGTTTTTTTGGCCTCTTTAACAGTGTTCTGGTACTGACGTTGACAGTCCTTTAAAATGTAAAATAAAACCTCCAGTTTATCCTTTTTCTATCTCCGTTCAGCTCTGCGGCACTCCTGTCTGACTGCAATAGTTTTTTCATTAAACCAGGGTTCAGATCTGGCTTTAGGCCGCATCAGTTTAGATTGAGCTACACAGTCCAAAATGGTTTGACAGGAGGAGTCAAACCAGGAGCTCAGCTGTTCGGTGTCAACAGCAGAGCCAGAGGGAGCACAGAGCTGTTCAAAGGCAGCAGAGAACTGACCAGCAGTGGAAGGGTTAAAAACTCTACGTCGCTGGGCAGGAGCGCAGGATTTAACTGGAGCACAGGACAAACTAACATCAAATAAACAGGCCTATGGTCAGATATCACATTATCCTATAGTTCCAGGTCGTTCACAGACAAGCCATGAGAGAGAACCAGGTCCAATGTTCATGTGACCAGCACAAGCAAAAGAGAGCACATTACACCTGTTTTGGCCTCCCTACACTGGCTTCCGGTTCACCTTCGAATCAAATTCAAAATACTCTTGTATGTCTATAAATCACTAAACAGCTCTGTCCCCTCCTATCTTACTGATCTGCTCCAGCCGTATGTCCCCCCACGTTCTCTCAGATCAGCAGACCAGTTGCTCCTAACAGTCCCAGGAACCCGTCTCAAGCGCAGAGGCGACAGGGCCTTCTCTGTAGCAGGCCCAAGACTTTGGAATGAGTTACCTCTGCTCGTTAGACAGGCCCCCTCCCTCACAGTTTTTAAATCTCGCTTAAAAACACTCTTCTATTCCCTGGCTTTCTGCACTGTGTGATCTGTGCTGAGTCTGTGTGCATCACACTGTGTTAGTCATATTGCGGTTGTTGTTGTTATCCATTATTGTTTTTGTCGGTTTCTACTTTTTGGTGTCCTGTTATGTAATCTGTTGCTATGTGCTTGTTCTGTTTGTCCCTGTACAGCAATTTGGTGTGCTTTGTCACTGTTTAAAGTGCTTTATAAATAAATTGGTATGGTATGGTATGGTATGGTATGTGTGGGACCAGCCACCCACTGAACCAGGTTAAGAGTCAGTGAGGCTGAGAAAGTCCTTCACCAGTGGTTTCTCTGGGCAGCATACATGTATGTTAAAATCCCCAACAATAAGGACTCGATCATAGTTTATCATTATTCCAGTCAGGAAATCAGAAAAATCATTCAAGAAATCATCATTATATTTAGGGGCTCTGTAGATGACAGCGCACAGCATGGGGTGTGAGTGACCCACCTCAAATAAAGTCACCTCGAAGCTGGAAAAAGACGGTGAAGTGCACTGCTTGCATTTAAAGTTGTTTTTATAAACCACCGCCGTTTCTCCTCCACAGCCTAACATCCGAGGGGAGCTTAGATAAGAGCAGCCGTCTGGTAGAAGTTCAACAAAAACACTGGAGTCATCAGCCTCATCCCAGGTCTCTGTGATGCAGAGCAAATCCAAATGACGGGAACTGAAAAAGTCCCGCAGGATGAAAGTTTTGTTTGTCAGAGATCTGGCGTTCCCAGGCCAATCCTGGCAGAAACCGCAGCATGTAATCTGACGGGCGCTAGGGCCCGGGGCAGCGTCTTCAGGCTCTGCAGGTTCACTCCGCGTTGGTGGAGCCGAGAGAAGCAGGAGGGGTGGGGGCGAATGTCCGCATCCAGGCTGGTGACAGGTAGCATGCAGCTGTCAACAGGATCCAGGAAACACCAAGGCACAGCGAAAGACGGAAATAATCCATTTCTTGTCTGAGAAATGGATGTAGAACGGGCCAGGCAGATCTTTAGTTTCACCAGCTGTCCTCCACGTTTACTGCGGTAACGACGACGTTTCCGCCGGGGGGACAGCGCAGGTGCCCGGAGGAGATGAGCTGGGACTCCTAACAGGAGCGGGGTAAAGTTTTCTGTCCACCATAATCAAAGGCATTGAGATTGCCAACAACATGTCGAATATCCAGGAGGGACTGGCGATTGTACACAAGCACAGACTTAGTGCTGAGCACAAAACAGAGAAATAAAACAAACCAAGAGCGACAGACGGACGGCCACACACACTGGCGCCATCTTGGAAGCCAATTTTTCTATTTTATTTTGTTAAAAACACTTTTTAAATTCAATTCAGTTAATTTGTATAGCGCCAAATCACAACAAAGTTGTCTCAGGGCACTTTACAGGAACATTCACGTACATAAAAGCCAATTAGTAAAGTTCTCTATCTAAGGAATCCAGCAGACAAGTTGAATCTTGGCTTCGTTGCAGTCTCCCATCCTGAGCAAGCAAAGTGGCAACAGTGGAAAGGAAAAGCTCCCTTTTAAAAGGAAGAAACCTCCAGCAGAACCAGGCTCAGGACAAGCGGCCATCTGCTTTGACCTGCTGGTTGAGGGGACAGGAAGGAGAGACTGACGAACATAGAATCCATCCATCCATCCATTATCTTTTACCCGCTTCTTCCGTTTTGGGTCACGGGGGTCGCCGGTGCCCATGTCCAGCAATCACAGTGCGAGGGGCGTGGTACACCCTGGACAGGATTCCAATCCATCACAGGGACACATAGAGACAAATGAGACAAACAACCATTCACTCTCTTACTCACACCTAGAGACAATTTAGTTATCAATCAGCCTAACATGCATGTTTTTGATCTGTGGGAGGAAACCGGAGTACCTGGAGAAAACCCACGCATGCACAGGGAGAACATGCAATCTCCAGCCAGAAAGGACCCTGGACTGGGATTTGAACCAGGGACCTGCTTGCTGAGAGGCCTCAGCTCTACCATTTGCACCACTGTGCTGCCCCAAAAAAATCGTTTAATTTCCAATTTGTGAAGCAACAAGATAAACGGCAAACAAGGTGGTGAACACTTAGAAATCCACTGGCTATTTTATTTTCTCTAAAAATCATTTCCGGACGGCTTGAAGAATATGTAAGGTGACATTCTTCCCTGAATCCTGCGTGTTGTAACAGCGTTGAGTGTAGATGTGTTCTGGTGTGAGGATGTCAGCTTTTATTAATTTCTTCTTTCCTCCCTCTCTCAATCAGACGCTTTAAAGAGATGGAGAGCCCCCCTCCTCCGACTCATCAAATGGAGAAACAGAACCGTGGCGGCTGTCCCTGTGTCATCCTCTAGGCTCCGTTACCATGGACACCAGAACCTGACCCTGCTTGGTGGTGGTGGTGGTGGTGGTGTGTGTGTGTGTGTGTGTGTGTGTGGTGTATGAAAGAGAGATAAAGTGAGTGACCAATAAGGTTTATTTTTCCAGATGTTTTTTTTTTTTTTTTGCACTCTATCATAAAACAACTTTCTTGCGGTGTATCACTTAATCTGAGCATATGTAAAGGGCACAGCATGACGTGAGTGACAAACTACTTTCGAACTCATGTACTGAACGTTGCAAAAGATAGTGCACGAGTGGCCGTCATCACCGAATGAAGATTAGACTGCCAGTCTTCTCAATAGGAGGCCATCATGTTCCACATCATCCTGCAGGAGGTAGCAGAGTCTCATGTTTCAGTCGCTGTATTTTGTCCCCCACACACACACACCTCCAGATTTTTTTGGACCAGTCTGTGTTGCCATGACTACAGAAAGGTTGAAAACATCAGTAAATACTGATTATACACTCGTAGACTGTTTTTGGTTGAGAGATTCCTGATGCCTCTGCCTGACGGGGCCTGCAGACGTGGATTAGAGGGGTCGACTCAGACCCACTTGGTCAGGTGGGTTGTGGACCAGAGCTGAACAGCAGGCTCATTGCTCTTTAGTTTTTTAGACTGGTTAGGTAACTCTAAATTGTCCCTAGGTGTGAGTGAGCAAGTGAACGGTTGTTTGTCTCGTTTGTGTCTATGTGGGTCTGTAATGGACCTGTCCCGCCCTCTCACACATTTGCCACCGCAAACCAGAGAAGCAGCAGATAAAGATGATGTATGCATGGGATGTATTGGATGGATGAACAAACATTTGTCAAAGACTTCCTGGACAGTGATTTGAATTGTAATACTTTTGAGTTCTATGTGGTTTTGTTTTTTCTTTTAATCTTATGTGTGTTCAGTGTCAATGTTTCAAAATGAGATGCATGAAACATATTTTTCACAGAAACCACCAATGTGTTATTAAAGGGGTATTTCAAACAATTTAAAGTGAAGTTTGGTTAAAAGTTATCTCACTTGTTGTCACTTGTGTGTTGTTTGAACAAATCCAATCTTCCAACTTTCCTAGTGGTTCATGTGAACACTTTAAATCTCAGCAGAGATATGATAAAACTCCTGCAGGAAGTGACCCCAGGCCATGGCAGCACATGTACGCTAGCTGCTGCTGCTACTCTTTGCTCTGCATATAACCAGAGAACCGTCCAGATGACCTGACTTAACCTTGTTAGATTCTTCTACCTGGATTATTGAGCAGCATCAGGACATTACAAGACAACAGGTCTACAGGTCTCTCGAAAAGGAGTCCTCGTGACTCAATGAGACTAACCTGTATAAATAATGGTTGAATGATTCTCTGAGCGAGCAGGTCGCCCCAGTTCAAATCCTGACTGATGGCCTTTCTGGGTGGAGTTTGCAGGTTCTCTCCGTGCTACGTGAGTTTTCTCCGGGTACTCCAGTTTCCTCCCACAGACCAAAAACATGCATGTTAGACTGATAGGTAATGCTAAATTGTCCCTAGGTGAGAGTGAGAGGGTGAATGGTTGTTTGTCTCGTTTGTCTCTGTGGTGGACTGGAGACCTGTCCAAGGTGTTCCCCGCCTCTCGGACAGTGATAGCTGGACATGTGCACCAGTGACCCCGTGACCCAAAAAGGAAGAAGCAGGTAAAAGTGAATGGATGGATGGATAACATTTTCAATAAATGCAGTTTGAACCTTTAATTTTCTAACACATTTCAGGGTTTAACATAAAAGAAAGATGGAATAAGAAACAATAAAAAATGTAAATGTAAAAACAAAAACTAAGTATAAATCTGCCTCATCAGAAATAAAAAGTGATACACTGGCTACTCAGAAAAACACTGTCTGTCCATGAGGTACAAAAATGAGCTCTTTGAAATAAATGTTTTTCCCCTGTCGCAGAGCGGAGAGGTGGAATTGGAAATTCCTCCATCTGTGCACGTGAACAGAAGTTAAATAAGTGACTTCCATTTTGGTGTGTGGCTGCATCAGGGTGTAAGAAAGGATTCTTTCGAAAATTGGATTGCCACATCAAAATCCAAGATGGCTGCCACCATATATGTGTTGAAGAAAGTTTTCTTGTGGACGGGGCCTGAGTGCACATTGCATTGCTGTGTTTTTAATGAGCATATTTTTTAAATTGCAGTCTAATTTTGTGTACCTGGCTTGCAAAGCTCATTTTCTCTCCAGGTGACGCACATTTTGTTGCCCACAAGCAGCTGCACCCACATTTATGATTTAATCTACTGGAGTAAACCATAGAAATGAAGATGGAATTTATTTTTTATTTGGTTTAGTTTTTGTTCCTGCACCTTCAATGCTGTAGATTCAGGTATTTTCCCCTGCACAGGTGTCAAGGTACAACACTTGTGCTATCTAAATTAAGAAGATCTTGAGACGATTGTGAAGACTAAACATTTGTTGCACAAATTTTTTAATGCTGGTAGCCTCTGTGACTCGTGAGGAAACTGCGAGCCCCTGCTAATGTTTGAGATGTTGGGGAGCTGCTGTTGAAGACTTACTCAGGGTAACCCTTTGATGTTAAATTTTGATTCTGTTAAATAAATGGCCGCATTTATTCTGATGGGTCAAAGATAAATGGCGTCTCATGTCACTAATTACACACTCCACTCTCATATCCAGTCAACAGAATAAGCTTCCTTAGAAGTTGAGAGCATTTAATGCTCGGGGTGAGTTCACAGCGAGGCATGCTGTGACTCCGCTGAAATGGAGGGACCCTTGGCACATGGTCCAATTCATCAGCTATTTAGTTCAGCTGTAAGACTCCAGCAAGACTGCAGTCCCAGCCAGAACTCCAAACAGACTTTCAGTAAGAACTGAAAGTTCCTGTACAGGTCCTTCTAAAAAAATTAGCATATTGTGATAAAGGTCATTATTTTCCATAATGTAATGATAAAAATTAAACTTTCATATATTTCAGATTCATTGCACACCAACTGAAATATTTCAGGTCTTTAATTGTTTTAATACTGATGATTATGGCATACAGCTCATGAAAACCCAAAATGCCTGTCCCAAAAAAATAGCATATTTCATCCCACCAATGAAAGACGTGTTTTTAATACAAAAAACGCCAACCTTCAAGAGAGGAACCCTCTCTTCCCCCTCAGACTCAACGGTACTCACTCTATTCAACCGTTACTGGACTGCCTGGCTGACAACAGAGATTGGATGGCTTTAAATTTCTTGAGTTTCAATGAGAAGAAATCTGAAGTTATGCTGTTTCCTCCCAATGACACAATCACCAACCACTGCATCGACCTATCCGTTCTGTCACCGTTAGTGAAACAAAGAGTCACTAATCTAGGAGTGATACTTGACCCTTCTCTGAAACTCAACAATCATATAAATTTGATTGTTAAATCCTGCTTTTTCCAGCTGAGGCGTCTGTCTAAGCTGAAGCCCATATTGTCCAAAAATAACCTGGAGACAGTAATTCATGCATTCATTACATCCAGGCTCGACTATTGCAACTCACTCCTTTTTGGTATTTGTCAGACCTCCATAGCTAGACTCCAACTGGTCCAAAATGCAGCAGCCCGGTTTTTGACCAGCACAAGCAAAAGAGAGCACATTACACCTGTTTTGACCTCCCTACACTGGCTTCCGGTTCACCTTCGAATCAAATTCAAAATACTCTTGTATGTCTATAAATCACTAAACAGCTCTGCCCCCTCCTATCTTACTGATCTGCTCCAGTCGTATGTCCCACCACGTTCTCTCAGATCAGCAGACCAGTTACTCCTAACAGTCCCAGGAACCCGCCTCAAGCGCAGAGGTGACAGGGCCTTCTCTGTAGCAGGCCCAAAACTTTGGAATGAGTTACCTTCTGCTCGTTAGACAGGCCCCCTCCCTCACAGTTTTTAAATCTCGCTTAAAAACACACTTTTATTCCCTGGCTTTCTGCACTGTGTGATCTGTGCTGAGTCTGTGTGCATCACACTGTGTTGGTCATGTTGCAGTTGTTGTTATCCATTATTGTTTTTGTCGGTTTCTACTTTTTGGTGTCCTGTTATGTAATCTGTTGCTATGTGCTTGTTCTGTTTGTCCCTGTACAGCACTTTGGTGTGCTTTGTCACTGTTTAAAGTGCTATATAAATAAATTGGTATGGTATGGTATGGTATTCCAACCACCGCAGCTCAGTCCTGGTTTAGCTGCTGTGAAATGTGGGACATTAGAGCAGTCTTTGCATTCAGAGCAGCTGTTAGCTCATCAGTCCTGTCTGAACTAGAATTCATAAAGACATTTGGTTGTTCTAAGAGCTACAATGGTTCAAAACTTTTACCCAGACACCCCCACCCCAAAATGTCTGAAATATCACTTTAAAGTCAGTTTGTCTCCCTGTTCAGTAGCTGTTGAAGCCTGCTTTGTGCTCATTGTCTTTGAATGAAGTGAATGAAGGTGTTTAGGAGGTTGTCTGTACTATGGAGGGTGGAATGTGACAAAATTAAATAAATCATTAAATAAATTTAAGTGCCCTATAACAAATAAATTTACCATGAAATAAATAAATGCCCCAATAAAAGCCCCATTAAATTAAATATTTAATAATTTGATGCATCATTAAATATACAATTAAATTGTTAAATACACAATTATATGGCCCATTAAATAAATACCTTCTAAATAAATGACACTGCTGCACAGGAACCATGAAATAAATAAAAAGTGAAATAAGTAATTTTTTAAATAAAATAAAATTTAACCTTAATGTAAATATTTTTAAAGAGACATTTATGTATTTAATGATACATTAATTAATTGTGCATTTAATAATTTAATTGCACATTTAATGATGTCTTAAACAATTAAATGATGCATTTAATTATTTAATTGGACTTTTATTGGTACATTTATTTTTCATGATGTATTTAATTTAATGATGTATTTAATTTGATCACATTCCACCCTCCACAGTTGTCATGGGACTTGATTGAAGGCAGTCTTTGAATCTCCACCCACATTTGATTGCTCCGCCCCTTCAGTGATGTCACTGTTCAACTGCGAAGTTTCATTTTAAAGCAGTGGTGGGCAATATTTTTTCCAGGGGGCCAAATTAAGAGATTTAAATCAATCAAAAGGCTGCATAGAGTATTGGAAAATTAATTTAGTGTGAGACAGATAATCTGGAAGACTTTTTCTTGTACCATAATTAACATGCTGGATTAAAAATATGTGTCCCCAAGACTCTAGAAATATAAGACATACTTTCTGTAAACTGGCTGTTGTGATAATTTAAATTCAATTCAGTTTATTTATATAGCGCCAAATCACAACAAAGTTGTCTCAGGGCACTTTACAGAAACATTCACATACATAGAAGCCAACTGGTAAAGTTCTCTATCTAAGGAATCCAGCAGACAAGTTGAATCTTGGCTTTGTTGCAGTCTCCCATCCTGAGCAAGCACAATGGCAACAGTGGAAAGGAAAAACTCCCTTTTTAAAAGGAAGAAACCTCCAGCAGAACCAGGGTCAGGACAAGCGGCCATCTGCTTTGGCCGGCTGGTTTGAGAGAACAGGAAGGAGAGACAGACGAACAGAGAATGATAGGTCCAGGTGTACCTGAAAGACAAAAAAAAAAAACATGTTAAGGGTAAATGAGCCTAGATATGCAATAAATAAAATAAATTGTTAAATGTTTCCTGATGCATGCTCAATAATCCAGGTAGAAAAATCTAAAAAAGTTAAATCTGGTCCTCTGGACATGTCCAGAGGACCAGATTTAACTTTTTTAGATGTTAAATGTTTGCATTTTATTGCCATTAATGTTCAGTCTAGTTCTGGAAACAACTTATAAAAAGTTTTGGCCCATCTTTAAAGATTTTCAATGAATTTGTTTGATGTTTAATTTAAACTTCTTTAAGTTTCATTGATAAAATACAGGTTTTCATTAACTTGAAAAAAAGGTTTTTTTACTTAAATAATTT